AAAGTTGTTGACGATTGTGTACAAACTTATGAAAATGATAGTACTAATTTTAATATTTTACAGAATTTTGTAATAGAAGAACGCAATATCGATACTAGTGAAGACGAAAGTACTCAGAATAACACATATAATACATCTAATCTATATAGTTCTTTTGATTGTATAAATAACGAAGATGTTGATGTATTTCATAACTTTTCATTGCATGGTGAAGATTGTCGAACTGTTTCAAGATTTCATAACCTTATTAGTGAAAACGCAGATGATATATGTGAAGAAAAAAATATTAATGCTCTACAAAATAGCCTGAAAAAATGGGCAACAGAATACAATATTACTAGAAGTAGTTTTAAAGAGCTCTTAAAAATTCTTAAAAAAGTTTATCCTACTTTACCTAAAGATCCTAGAAGTATATTTCAAAAGCCAAATAATATTTCAGTCGAAATAATGGGAAATGGTGAATATTATAATTTCGGTTTAAAGAACATGTTGGAAAAACATTTAAGAATTATAAGACAGCCTTCGTCACAAATACTCTGGTTAAAGTTCAATGTTGATGGATTGCCATTATTTAAAAGTAGTCGCGTACAGTTTTGGCCGATATTATGTCTTATTTCAAATTTTGGTTTTCAACCTTTTGTATGTGCAGTATATTGTGGCAAAGGAAAACCAGATTTAACATTATTTATGAAAGACTTTGTTCCTGAACTAAAAGATGTTATGGATAATGGCATAACAATTAATAATATAAAGTTTAATATTTTTGTTAAAAGTTTTATTTGTGACGCTCCCGCTAGAGCCTTCTTAAAAGGTATTAAAGGTCATGGAGGTTATTATGGGTGTGAGAAATGTACTCAAAAAGGCAAATGGAGGAAAAGACGCATTACATATCCGGATCATAATTCTGATTTAAGAACAGATGAGAGCTTTGCCGATAGAACACAGAAAAAACATCATAAAGAGATAAGTCCATTAGTAGATATTGGAATTAAAATGATCACCATGTTCCCATTAGACCCTATGCATTTGATATATCTTGGAGTGATGCGTAAACTGTTACATATATGGACAGGTGGAAAATTAAAAACTCGCATGTCCGCTACAAACATAAGTATTATGAGTAAACAACTTGAGAAAGCAGCACGTTTATGGCCACATGAGTTCAATCGAAAGCCAAGAAGTTTACATGAATTAAATATGTGGAAAGCTACAGAGTACAGACAATTTCTTTTATATTTGGGTCCAGTTGTACTTGTTCCATGGCTTCCTACAAAAATGTATAAACATTTTCTCTTACTTCATGCTAGCATATTCATTTTATCGCAAGATATTATTTCACCTGCAGCTTTAATTCAAGCTGAACATATGTTAAGACAATTTGTTATAAACAGTACATCAAAAGAACTTTATGGCAAAACATTTCTCATATATAATGTTCATGGTTTGTTGCATCTTGTCGATGATATTAAATGTCATGGTTCTCTACATGAATTTTCTGCTTTTCCTTTTGAAAATAAATTGCAATCTGTTAAGCGTGCAATTCGTGGAAAAAATAAACCGTTACAGCAATTAATTAATCGTACTATAGAAATAAATGAAATAAATACGATTACTTGCGACCATTTGATTATGAAAGATAATCCCGTTGTTTTATCTGTTCATTCTACTGGACCTTGCCTTTCTTTAACTGGTATGCAATATAAAAAAATTCAATGGAGTAACACTACATTATCATTAAATGAAGGCGACAACGTAGTTATTACGTCAAAAAATGATGTTATCAAAATTGTAAATATCGTTGATACAGCATCTGGTATAATTGTAATAGGAAAGCGTTTCGAGAAATACAGAGATTTGTATTTAGTGCCATGCAAATCATCAGATTTGAATATTTATATAGTAAAAAATCTGTGTGAACAACCAAGTAAATGGCATCTCAATGACATTTTATGTAAGGCAATTCTTGTTCAATACAAAAATAAGGATGCTTTTGTAAGTTTTCCTATGCATAAGTAATATTTTTTGTTTTCTTAAGATGCATAATTGTTACAAGTTTTTTATACATATGTATATATTTCTCCTTTTCGACTTTTATTTTTTTTATTATAATCGATATTTTCTTGCAAAAGGAATTGCATTATAAATTCATAACAGTTATTGTAACTAGAAATTCTGTAAGTGTTTATGTTACATTGCATATTGGAATGTAGCGAAAAAGTTAATATATACATATATATAGAATGTTATAAATAAAACATTATAATTTTATTAATTTTGTTCCGTACCATACATACTCTCCCATATATTAGTTCTACGATATTCTGTCGTA